TCCGAAATCGGGATTTATTTGATGTTACTATTTCTACTCAATTTGCTTTTTTTCATCTGATAATAATGTCAGTAGCACTGTGATGTCATGTGACACAATCTCTTCTTCACAGACATGCTCAGATGATGACACACACTTTAACTGTTCTCATCCAAAACAAACAAAAGTTTTATCAGGGCTTCAATTTTTTATGGCACTGAGGGATATCTGTGCATGGCAAGGTCTACTATCTGAGAGACCCCACCGTGCGTCAGACATTAAATCCCTAAGGAGCAGATTCAGTCACCTGGGGAAGTAGTTGACTCAAAGCAGCTTAAGTCAGTCTGCATGTAAAGCCAGTTTTTACACAGAACAGACTCTCCTGCCATGCTGGTGAATTATGACAGGAATCTGCCAGGGTGTTACACGTTGATTCTTCTCCTTGTTTTTCTGGCCTGATAACAGGACCTACCGATAAACTTCCCCTTTTCTTACTCACATTGGTAGACCAATTAATAAGACAGGCTTGATGCTTAAATAAATATTTTTTTGTTGTTTAACCCTGACAAAATCCTTATCTGTTTTGTAGATAAAAGGTCACTTAGGTAAAAAAAAAAGTGAAAAAAGGTGATATTGGTAAAATAGTTAAAGTATTTCAGAGTAGGAAATACTGATTAATACTTCCATCACTTCCTGGAGTAGAAATAAGCCACAGCCCTAGCTACTAATTGAGCAGAACAATCTATTATCTTTCCTGACTAATGGATTATTGGGCAATAAAACATGGGGAGAAATGTGCCCATTCTCCATTCTGTCAGCAGAAAATGGGAGAATATTCCCTTTCTAATGTGTTCCACAAATCTTAAGCTGTTCATTCATAAGACTCCACAGATCCATTTCCTCTCAGGGTTTAATGCCAGATTTGTAAAAAAAATCTATCTGCTGTGAAGATTAATTGAAGTAAGTTAAGCTGTTAGATTACTGGGGACATATCCAAAACTTTTAAAACAGAACAAAAAAATCAAGAAATAACAAGGTTTAAAATGAATCAAATCATTTATGTATTCAGTTTTATCTACACTATTTCAAGCTAATTCATTATTATCTTTAAAACCCTACTTTTCACTACATTATTTTTACATTCACGTACACACATGCTAGAGCATGCAAATATGCACCCACAGACACAAAACTATACACATTAAGTTTTTTATAAACCCTTTCATTTATTTACTGAATGACTTGGTCAACTACTTATTTATTCAGTTAATATTTATTTATTTAAAATATGCACTCAATTATTTAATTAGTCATCTATTCATTTCAATCTTTGTTTGCTTTTCAACATCATATTGTACATTTACAATAAAGATTTATCTCATCCTTCTTACACTCCTGAATCATGTCCAATATTCGCTTCGTAACAATTGATGACATCTTTATAGGAAAGTCAATGAAGCAAACACATTTCTATTCCTGGTTTTAATTTTACTGACAGAACTTCTGTGAAAAGTAAATCTGCTGGCCACAGGGTTCTCTAAAAATCTGAACAAATTATTACTGCTTCTTTTTCCATTAAAATGTTTGAAAAGAAAGGAAAATTGCCATAATTAACATTCAATACATAACACACAGCTTCATGATACTGTCATTATATCCAGATGTAAGTAATAAGTAATTAATAAATAAAATGAAATTGCTCAAAGCGCAAGGACTTGCTAACTATATATTATAAAAGATCTATCGAATGTAAAATTAACCACCAGAAATTGTATTTACTGTGTGAAAACAAAGGAAGAAAAGAGTGCTGGAATTTTGGGACTTAGGCCAGACAGATATTCCTGCATCCAGCTTTGTTGTAATATGGTGGAGTCATAGTGGTGATTTCATGGCCAAATTACATTTTGTAAACTTCCTATTTTCTATCAAATCAGGTCAAAGTTTGGAAAAGATTGACAAAGTCAGTTATAATGATATTACTTGAATCTTTAAATGCATTTTATTTATTAAAAATAACTGTTATCAAGTATTAAAGGATGCTTTCAGTTGTAAAAGGATTGAGCAACTTCATTGGTGTTGGTGTTAAAATTAGTCTAAGTTAAATTGTCTTAAAGGTCTGTAATAAATGTGTCTTACTTGGTTTCAATATCTCCAACTTTAGGAATCACTTTGATACCTATATATTTTATGTGCTTCATCTCATGTATAGTATATACAGAGAATAGTTTGTATTGCCAGTAGAGTATGTAGCCAGTAGAGAGAGTTTAGTCAGTAGCACTGATAGCTTGGTTGTCCATGCTGCTTTAGGGGACTCCAAATATCACATCAGAAAAAACCTTGAAATCAGTCAGTTAGTAGTTGATCTCTGGAAAACATACCAAAGCTGTTGTGGTAAATGTGTTACTGGAGAATTAACCATTCTAAACATTCTAAAATATTCTAAAATATTGCCAAGCCTAATCTGACCCAAATGAAATTTAAATCAGTTCATCCTGGGTCTATTACCAATGTACAAAAAATTTTGAAACAAAAATCTCTAAAATTGTGGCCTCTATCGCAGGACAAAAATTAGACCACAAACAGACCCACAGATGAGCAGACCAATATGCTTGCAAAAACTTTTTCACAAGTAATTCTCTATTGAAGATTCTTCTGTTAGAGGTACACCAAGAACTACATCAACAACGCAACACCACTGCAAAGTTCTCTTTCTGCACCCTCCCTTTATTAATAAATGGGAGAGATCAGCTCACAGGATCTTGAATCAAATTGCAATAAATACCCTAATGTAAAAGGTGAAACTAATTTTACTGCTACGTGGGTGGAACTGCATCACTTCATGCATAACAAGTCAGTCAGGCCATAAAACACACTGATGGCTGAACACTTCCTGGAAAAGTGCTTCAGGATCACAATGGCATTCTCTGAACCTTGGACTTGGAGTGCCCTCTTTTGGCCAACATTTAGAAAAGGTTAATTTGTGAAATATCTATCAGGGTAAAGATTCAGACTCTGAGTGATAAAAATATATCACAGATTTGTATATTCTTTATTCAAAGCATGTAAACAAATTGTCCAGTAATGCAATTCTGCTGTGGTTGCCATTCAACCACTCATAAATATCCTACATCTTTTTTTTTAACCTGTAATTTGATCTCACTACTACAAGTCATGTAATCATGATGTATATGGCAATATTCAACATGAACAGCCTGTCTGATTCACAAGGCTTGCATTACCTAAGATGTGGTGTAATACAATATATGTTTATCAGCATTATGATGCCTTCATTAAGTTAAACCACTAATGTGGAGTAGTGGATAAAATTTCACAAGGCACTTACGAAAGTCATGCTTTTTGGGATGACTCAAATTGCAAAATGTTGTTGGGGTTTTTAAACCCTTATTTGGAAAATCCTTGAGTATATCTATAGCACATTAACTGGGCCCCTAGCAAAAAAGAAACTAACAAGCACCATAAAGCTGAGGAGCCAGTAAATCATTGAAGTCACTGCTACATAACTGAGATGGAAAATGATCAATGTATTTAAAAAAAAAACACAATTTCTTGCTTGTTTCTTACATATTAATGAGTACTAAATTACGTTACTGAATTTATAGGAAAATCCAATTAACAATTATGAAATTATCAAATAATATGCTTCTATTTTTGTTTTCTCTATATCATCATTACAAGATCAAGACTTTAGGTACAAGGCAGATACCATATGACTCTAATTATCAAAATTAATCTTTACATATAAGTCTATGAAAATCAATTTTGGTTTATTCAGTTCTTATATCCTCTCACAGAGCAATAATTTGTTCAATAGGAAGAACAAAACATATTAGACACAGTGCACTTACTGGGCAAGCCAGCAAACACATCCCTAGTACCTGCCACCTACTATGACAGGAATGTGCCTAGAACACTGTGAACAGCTAATATCCCACTCCGAATGATTTTTTTTTTTTTTTTGAAGAAACATTTCCTTACAATTCATTAAAAAAAATTTTCTCTTGACGTATCTCTCACTGCATATTGCTGCATGAGTAATGATAAGAAAAGTGACTCCCTTTCATAAGTTCTCCACAAGTTAATTAATTGCCTGTGTCAAGCGCTGGGGCTCCATTTAGGGACTCTCTTATGCTCTTATGTAATAGCCCAGCTTTTAAACACAGACAATATGTTAAATCTTTATAATTTATTAGCAAAAAAAAAAAAAAGAAGAATTTTCGTGGAATTTGTGTAAAATCATCAAAGTATACCCTATCCAAACTGTCGAGAAAATAAAGAGTTAAAAAGCCTTCTTTGAGTTCTATATAATAATTTTGGATGACACATTGTGCAAAATTCACAGCTTTCATCTCTATTACCACTTCCAGAGCCTCATAGTGTCTCACAAGTTACTTATGGATAAACTACTAGCTGAGACCCAGATATAACTGTAAGTTTTAAGATGGAGACAGTGGAGAAATTTATGGAATATGGTGCTAAGAAATGCTGAAAGAAAATGGCAGCCACTAGAGACAGAAAAACCCAGAAAATGGCAAGCAACTGAAAAAGAAGCACTCAAGCAGTCTATTTGGCAGTGAGGTGGGCCATTGGGAAAAGTTTAAGAAAGTTTTGGAAATGAACAATCATGTAAAGTGAGAAATCAATAGTTTCTTTCCGCAAGCTTATTTCTCGGTTAGCAAAGAAAAATTAACCAAAAATACCCTGCATACCTTTTACAGAACATTATTGTGGTCCATAATTGCATTTATGTTGAATATATGCAGATCACAGTGAGAATTTTAAAAAATATATACATTTGAGACTTAAGGTGTGATCACAATGAATATTTCGCACCAGCTACTGTGCATTAATTCCACAGAGACTCTCACTTAATGCAATCAGATTAACAAAATAACATACCTCCTCTTGTTTCCAACATATTTGTAAAATCACCAGCTTTTCTGTATTCTATCCTATTACAAACAATATGCACACTTAGGATTTTAAGTTTTATCTGAACCTACCTTCTTTTATCCTAACCAGAATATTTTTGTCCTCGGCACCACTGGTGAAGTATCCCCCTTTGTCTAGGTCCCAGAAAAGCTGATCTTGTTTGTCCTGTAATTGATCTGCCCACGATAGCCACTGGTCATCGTAACATGCCTCATAAAGGTCGAGGAGACCGCGGATTAAAAATGCATAGTCATCAGAAAACCCATTGATAGGTGTGGGACTGAAAAATATTCATCAAATACAGTTCTCTTAAGTCACAGAAAAAATTCATGAAGCAATTTTAAAAATTCTTTTGTAATTTTTCATTCACTCATCCTTTTTTAATTGCTAAATTATTTATTATAAATTCAAATTACCTTCCAAACAATGTTTTTTTTTCATCAAACTTCACTGCATAATAAACTGCTCATATTAATGTTATTTCCTAATGTTCTACTTAGTGGTCATTACAACTGCAGTATGTGCAATACTATAACAACTACATTATTACCTTTGCTCCACTTTGTCTGCTTCACCACAGTAACTCGTCCTGTGTAACATCCCTGTCTCTGCATTATACATGTGTGTCTTCAAAAAACTGGCAGCTTTAATGGCACGGTCTGTGTACTTGCTCTCCCCCAGAACCTGTCCAGCTCGGGCAAACCCTGAGATCATCAGACCTGCAATACACACAGTGACAGGGCCCATTTCCATTGGATATAGGTTGCCTTAACTTAGGCCCTTTTCACATTGAGGGCAATTTTGGAGCAATACAGTCTACAAAGGTACTTGGAGCTCAGGTAAGGTGAGCTCATCAATTTGGACAGCCTGCTGACACTAGTCACAATATACTTCATCAATTCATTTTCACTATAAATAAGTCTATAACATTCAAGTAAAAATATAAATTCTATTTTCAAAATTGTGCACCCAATAAAAAACAAAACTATTTCTTTCAACTGTAAAACTAAAAGAAAAAAAATGTTACTTTTTTTTAACCTTTTAAGCATGTCTACAATGTGTACTATAAGTTGGCAGTCATGAACACTATGCCAACATAGAATATATATAACAGCAGGTGAGTGTAGAGCGCTATGCACTACCAGGAAAGTAACCTTTTGCTGATACAAATGTAGTACACACCATTCCAAGCTGTGAGCATTTTGTTATCAAGATGTGGCTTGGGTCTCTTCTTCCTAACCTCAAACAGCACCTGTTTACACTTTTCCAAAATGGCAGTCGTAGTAGCAAGGTCAAGATTAAACTGCTGGGCTGTTTCCTCCAGACTTCCAGTAACAATTAGAACATTCTGTTTCTTTAATTCATCATGTGGATCCTGTAACAAGTTTATAAAACCACGCAAATAATTTCAATACGACTGCTTTTAACAATACACTTTATCTTTTTCAGTCATTTTTCTTACTTTTTCATGCATGTATGGATTAATTAGGTTCTTCAAATGCCACCATTTTAGATGCAATACAAATGTTACAAAAGGAAATATATCTAAAAGAATTGGCGCTTTGTATTGTCTTCAACCTGCATTTTGCAATATACATAAACATGTGGTATAAATATGACAAAATCATTATCCTAAACACTATGAATTGTTCATCACTTCAAAGAATTTCAAAAAACATAAACATGTCACAAACATCGAATCTAAACAAAACTTAAAATCAGGTACTTTACTTTGTAAGGATCCACATTTCCCCCTGGTTTCACATCAAAATGCTTGCAGAAGACATCAGCCATGGTGACGTCTTCCTGTCCCTCCACACTGTCTCCTAGCAACTGCCTTATCTCTTCATCTGTCCAGACACAGAAGGCCCCTTCTTTCTTCTCGACATCCCCATGGTTTGGATAAGAGTCCGCGTCCTCTGCACTGTAAAACCCTCCAGACTGGACAAACACAGAAAATGTCAGGGTGAAAAAGTGCACACAAATGATGTATACACAAAATAAAAGTATTTTAAAAAGCATAAGATGAAATTGAAAAAATATCAATTTCATAACTCAGATTGCTTGTTCAAGAAAGATTTTTTGATATGTAGTTTTATCTATAGTCTTACATTATTTAAAAGCTTTGAAATGAAAATGTGCATATTAAAAAGTTTTAAGAGATCTTTTTAAAGAATATCCTCACTGGATCACTTAGGTCACGCTCCACATACTGCAAGATGTCCCTGGCAATATCTGCAAATATTTCTTCTTTACTAAGCTTGAAATAAATAAATAAATAAATTCATGATTCTAAAAACAATGACTTGTCCAAATTCAAAACAAAATTATCTTTATTTTCATATCAAAATTTTGCAATATGTGAATACAAATGCAGGGACAAATCACTTCATTTTGATGTTATTCACAAAAAAAAAATTCACATAACAGTAATAATAATAATAATAATAATAATACATTATGGGAAACCATGAAAATACCACACATAACAAACATAGTTCACCTGCTATGACCCACCTGATATGCATCTAAGTATGAGTGTGCCAGCTGTCCTTGGTCATATAACATCTTTTCAAAGTGGGGAACATGCCAATTAATATCAGTGGAGTACCGATGAAATCCCTTGAAAAAGAAACAATAAGTTAAAAACCTTTCAATCAGTGAAGTTAAGCTGAAAATTTTAAGTTAAAAACATGTCTCTTGAACTCTTCTTAAATGCAGGTTGTTGATTCAATAAAATGACTTGTATATATTTTCAGGACAAAAAATACTGTACAATGATGCAGTATAATCCACAAAAGATGTTACAGTCATAAAACTATTTTAGCAGGAACAAAATATGCATAAATACTTACCTGGGCAACATGATCATGTATCCCTCCTTTCGCCATCATTCTGAGTGTATGGAGCGCCATCTTCTGGGCACTTTCTGCCTCGGCTGATGGGGACTTGCTTGCAACAACACGGAACAGGAAGTTGAAATTGACTGAAAAGAAAAAACAAGGATTTCCAAGTCTAACATGAAAAGTTTGATTGTGTATCTAATTTTGGACCCATAATGTCTTCAAGATGATAAATTCTTAGAATATCAATTATGATTAAAACTTGTAAGGGACATGGTAAAAACTGAAATCATTTTGATGTGTTCAGAACTATTTAATATTATAATTTGTTCTCTGTAAACTGCCTCTTCCCTTTGAAAAAGTAACAAACTTAATACAACCAAATTCTAAAAGAAACCATTTTCCCGCCAAAACCATATATATGACTATGTATGCAGCCTCACAGCTAACTCACCTGGCTGTGGAAATTTGGGCCCTTTCCCAAACCCTCCCATTGTGAAGTCATATGTCCTACACAGCATCTGCAGACATGTGTCCATGCACTGGTCACTGTCCAGTCTGACCTGGTCTTCTTGTGGAGTCTCCAGCTGTGTCATCTGCATCACTGCATCCACTATTTGAGTGCCCTGTCGCATTATCTTGTCACGGTTCATCTGCCACTGAATAGTTAAAGCAGTGAAAGGTTGTTGTCTTGAAAATCTTAAATGTATTGTAAAAATATGTACAATGGTTGCATTCTTTGAAATTTTCAAAACACATATGAGCACAATCAAAGATATTCTCCAGGTAAAAGTGACAAGTTGTTAAAACTTTTGTTTTCATAACAATTTGCAATAACATAATTTAATGAACAGGAGCAGCAAAACAAGCAAAACAGTATTACTAAATCCTTTTTTTTTTCAAACTATGTATTATACCCTTGAGTTTTTTATTTTTAATATACACAGGGGCAGATCCAGAGATATTTTCTGACAGTCTTCCAAATTATTTTTGTTGATCCATCCTCCATTTTTTATATTAGAAAAAATAGATACCCATCATGTAAACTTGAAAATCTGACCGTCTTCTGGAAAACCAAGAAAACGGCCTCAATCTGCCCTTGATACACAATACAAACACCAAAACTAAAATACTACTATAATAAACACATATGTATACTAACTACCACAAGGATTTTACAAGTACCTACTCTATGTAATTCTAAAGATTCACATAACACATTCATATACCCATTAATTAGTAATACACTTTATTGGAGTTTTACCTGCTCAGACAAATTATTCAGAATTGTCTTGAATCCTGGTCTGCCATAGTATCTGTCATCTGGTGGGAAGTAGGTGCCACCAACTATTGGTTTAAGATCTGGAGTTAGCCACACACTCATAGGCCAGCCTCCACTGCCACTGGTAGCCTGTCCAAGGGAGTAGAAATTTTTTACATGATCTGATAATATATTGGCATGGATGAAATTTGTAAAAAAAACTGTAAATCCTGAAATCCTAGCTTGCAATTTCTCATGGCATTCAGACCATATGAAAAAAGATCAAATTTAAGATTGAATATCCTGAAATCAGGCATAATCCTGATCCTGTCACCCATGTGCATAGGCCACTTCACGTATTTGCCTGAAATGAACTGTCATCATACTTCAATAAAACATCATGGTATTTATGTAAAAATAGTTTAAAGAAAGTCAAGAGAAAAAGACAGCATTATTTAACTAAATGAGTCAAGATGGACTGTAAATATCCTCGGTAAAAAATATAACAGGTGTTTGCTGGTAAAATCTGCTTATAAGAGACAATTTCATTCAAGTTTAATTTCTTGTTGAAGTCAGCACCTGTATAAAAGTCATATACATCTTGTCCACATCTGGCCTCTCCTCTCTGTCAACCTTGACACAGACAAAATTGTCACTCATTATCTTGCCTATTTCTTCATTTTCAAATGATTCTCTCTCCATCACATGACACCAGTGGCATGTAGAATAGCCCACTGAAAAAATATAATAATAGTTTTGTTTCAACTAGACATGCTAAACTTCAATATTTTGTTAAATTCACATAAGAGCATTGCTTTAGACCACCATTCCACTTAAAAGTATTTTCAGTCCATATGTAATCAGTTTATGTGTAATAACTGTATATTACCATGCCATTAAGTATAAATTTTACACCTACCTGATAGAAAAATCATCTTATTTTCTTCTCTAGCCTTCTTAAATGCTTCTTCTCCCCATGGAAACCTATGAATATTTGATGTATTAGAAAGGCACAATTGATATTATAATGATATTACAGTGATATGAAAAGCCTGAGAACATATTGTCTTTCGTGTACATGTACATGTACATGTGGCCTAGCTCTTGTAAAACCCCAACACACCATCAAAAACCATGTGTGGGAAAAAACAGATTTTAAAGCCCCCTTTCAAAGTATATATATATATATATATATACATAATGCTGCCAATCAGTAAAAGATCAAATCTGATACCAACTCTCCTTCTTAACCAAAGCATCTGCTTCCATACAGACAATTTCATTGAAAGCACTGTGAGATAATCCATTGACTCTAATAGATAACAAGGCTGCAATACAAGTTAATATATGATAAACGAAATGCACTTAAAAAAAATTTGTTATTTAAAAAATCAAACCATGGCCATCTTTGTATATAACCTCCATAACCCAGGGATTACTCTGGGCCGCGAAATTGCAAGAATTACATGTTTAAAACAGCAATCTCACATGCCAATTTGACAAATGGTGTAATAAATTTCATGGAATGAAAGATCTCACATCTTTTTTAACGAAATGGAAACTCGGTGTCACAGACGACAGCTTGATACTTAGCTACATACTAGTTAACATTTTTACAGCCAAAAATATATGTACTGAAGCTGACGTTACAATAATTATATTTAGCTACAACTTCGACAAAACAATCTTCCTATCTCAATACCGATACATTTACTAAAAAAAAAGCCTGTACTTGTGGCTATTATTCCTTTTGCAAGCACTTCACGATACAGCAGCGTTAAATAATGTGCAGCAGGCGGTTAATGTGCGTTAAAGCCCAAGACCTTCACCCGGCTCTCCAAAGTTCTGCAAAGAAGGAGTTGTCACGGTTTCAAGCATTTTTGGTACTAAAATAATAATGCCTCCAAAGAAGAAACTATGACCACTGACCAATGAAAGCTTATTAGATTTATTCAAACTGCAAACAAGACGGGAGACAAACCAGACCACTCCGGCCCAGCCACATGTGCGGATGATGACTCTGAACATGAGGCTGATAGTGATATTAATCCCTCGGGATGTCAGTGAAGTGAATCAAGCATCAACTGTCACGGTGAAATTTCAGGATAAATGGAAACATACACATAGTTGGCTCCAGTATAATACAGAGAAAAACGAGATGTTTTATCAATTTGTCATGAACATGGCAGTAATAATACCATGGCCAGAGGAACCAATAATTTCAGAACTGCTACACTTGTTCAGCACATGGCATCGGCAGATCACCAAAATACATGCAAAATCCCTCTCCAGCAAAGACATGAGAGCAGCATTTGACAAATGCGACAGCTAAAAAGGAGAGAGGAGTTACCATGGCCATGAAGGTGATGGCCAAAGTGAAAAAAGTTTTAACACATTTAAGTATTAAAACTATATTTTAAAATATTGCAAATAGTTTAAACAGACTTTTTACTGATCAGATAAAATCTTACAAGGCTATCTGTGTTGTGTTTTCAATTTATTTCAAACTTGTAACAAAGCCTGATGTTACTGTTGGTGACATAGCAACCTTAACATATGATGGTAACTCTATGTAAAAATTGGGGTCATGTCGATACTCCCCCGCACCGTTACTCCCCTGCACCGATAATCCCCCTTAGTAATTTTTTGTATTATGCACATCAATACGACCCCACACTGATAGATCCCCACACCGATACTTCCCCGCACCGATACTCCACCTCAGGAAGTATTGGTGCGGGGATGTACCAGTGCGGAAACATATCGATATGTATCCTAAAAATTTACTCAAGATCATCCAACTTTGTTCCACTCACCAGTCCACTGGATTTGAAGCATGCTGCAGCAAGTAGGGTGACTTCTCCAGGGCAAGTCTGTTTTGTTTCCTTTGGGAATCACTAGATGTACTGGCAAATGCTGTGGCCATGATCAGATGTGGGTGTAAACCTCTAAATGTGAAATAAATAAAATTGAAACTGATCATGTAGTGATTTCTTTAACCCAAACAAAACTTATTAATGCTACACACCCCTAAAAGTTCTAAAACTCATTATTAATCCTTAACAACTTGAATAAGATTACAAATGGAATCAAGAAATAAGCATCTCTGATGTGGCTTCATCATATGCTATTCACATGTGGAAATTGTGCCAGTAAATAATCATATTGGAGTACTGTACATACCACATTCAATCCTACACTGCTCCCCTGCAGAATGCCTTACCTAGAAAGATGTGGTGAATATTTTCTCCTTGGATAGGTACACAGTCTACCTACAGACCATATCCTAATGGCTGTACGGCAACTGTACATAACAAACAGTGAGACCCATACACAAATTCCAGTGCAGAGGAGCAACGCCGTTCCAGTAGAGGCTTCTTTTCGACCTTGTTTACCTCTAAACGTCACCACTTTCAGTGTTGTTCATCCGGGGAGTTTCAACATGGCAGCCGCCATGGCTGGCACGAGTGAAGATTTTCCCAGTGAAATACAAGACCAGTTAAGCAGTTTTGATGATTCTTTAACAAAGGTTGAAGACACTTTAAAACCATTATTAATGACTCCTTTGAATGAGGTACACGAAAAGGTAAACGGTACATATTATTTATAGAAACAAGTAATAGTAATTATCCAGCATAATCGCTCTGGTTCCGACTCCACGTCCACGATTCTTGTCGTGCGCCGCTTTTAACAGTTCGATCCACATCTATCAACAACTGTTTTTGTGGTAAACGTTAGTGTCTGTTTTTTATCTTCAGTTATGAATTAAGCCACCAATGACAGTCAATTGAATCTGAAATATTGCATGTCACTTCATTTAATATTGTTTACATTTTCATTTTTATTACTCTAAAAAGTCTTTAAAAATTTACAATGTTTGGGATAGTTGTTCAGCACCTGCCTTGCATGAAAAATCTTAAACAATTTAGAAATAATTTTAACAATGAAGAGGAGAAAACTGTTCTGGTGTCTGGGTCTTTTTCTCTCCATTCTTTCTTTCTTTGTACATATGAAAATTGTTGTTTTAGTCTCTATTTAATTTGTCTTGGAAGCCACTTTGTCCATTAATTTACTTGAGTGATTTGTTTCAGCTAAATCCTCTTGACTGTGCCAAAGTAAACCTCGTGGCCGCATATGCAGTGAACTCTTTATTTTGGAGTAAGTGCAAAATATTTTTTTTAAATCAAAATTTTAGAAAATAAATGAAAAGGCTAGATATTGAGACTCTGAATTTTTTTCTATCTTTTAACTCTGATTATGACTCTTGGACTCTTTGATGAGCAAAAATAATTAAATATGAAGTAAATGTAATGATTAAGTTTTTCTGTCTTTCCAGCATATTTAAATGTCAGAGGGGAAAATCCAAAAGAGCACCCAGTGAAGCAGGAATTGGTCAGTAAGGGTGCATATTTAAATAAAAGTCACATTATCATGTGTTATCATAGGGACTAATCAGTCTGTATATTAACCAGTGGTCCCATGCTAAGTACCAGGAAATTGAGCCAGTATATTTCTATTAATTTTTTTCAGGCACTGGGTACTTTTACTACTTTGGATCAGTGAATTTTCAGTCCTTGGTGGCCTTGGTACGCTAAATGTGTTTGAAACAGACTGCTGATGAATTTTAATCATTTTTGTATTTTAAATGCTGAAATATAAACTCAAATGGAAAAAAATATAAATAGAGATGTTACAGAATTTCTTATGTTTAGGATCGTATAAGGGGATACATGAACAGAGTCAAAGAAATCCAGGAAAAGGAGAAAGCACCAAAGCTTGATAAGCCAGCCTCTAAAAGATTTGTGAAGAGTGCTCTGTGGCAAGCAGCACATGCAAAAGCAAGTGCCCAGAAAGATGATGGTAAGTAAATGATAGCAGTAGTTGAAACATGAGTAATAAAATGCATTAGAAGAATTACAGATTTCCTTGTTGTCATGTAGAGTTATGACCAGTGCTATGACATTTTATTTTCAGATTGATGTAATTTGTTAGAAATAATAGGGCATTTATGCGTGACTTTGTTGGGCATACATTTTGTTATTAATACTGGGTTATCACAATGGCAGCGACTCCAATAAATGATAATAATTAATATATATTTATTTCTAAATTCCCAGGTGCCTCAACAAGCCAAGCGGATACATCAAGATTGCAGCCACAACCAAAAAGACAAAGGCTGAATGAACAAAATGAAAGTTCAAAATCAGAAAGCGGAAAGAAAGAAAAAAGAACAGCAAAATGTAATACTGGACAAAAAAATTTAAAGATTGAAGGAACTAATTGAAAGTTTTAGATTTTTATTTCCTATCAAATTTCCAGAAGACAGGCAATGCTATATGACATTGTTTTTTTTTTTTCTTTTTATGTACAGACACAGATGTGTCTGTACATATTGCCATCACCTGCGTCTGTCGTCGCCGTTCATGTCGCCGTCAATGTCGCCGTCGCCGTCGCCGTCGCCGTGCACTTTCAGCGTTAACACCATAAGTGGAAGACAGTTTTACTTTTTGGCTTTATATTTACAGAGCTGATGAATATTCATAAAACGCAGGTCAAGTTCGAAAATCAGCATGATCGGGCCATTATTCTAGAATTTATGCTGTTTTTTCACTTTTCAGCATATATGCAACACTGTTAACACATTTCAAAGAAAACCGATAGGCCTGTTGTCATGAAACTCACAGGAGTAATCAATCTTACTAAAACGCAGGTCAAGTTCGAAAATCAGCATGATCGGGCCA